ATGAGGCCACCTCCCTTCATCAGGAACTGGGTCCCGCGGAACCCTACGTGGACCCCTTCTTGAGGAACAACCCCACCGCCTACTCCGACTTCCTCCACCTCTTATGCGACCGCGGGATGCTCGAATGGACCCTGGCCCCAAAGGATACCCATACCATCGGCGTGTTTTTCGTTGCCAAAAAAGACGGTAAAATTCGGGTTATATTCGATACCAGGGTGTGTAACTACTCGTTCAAGGATCCACTCTCCACTCGACTACCTACTGCATCTTCTCTCAGCCAGGTCGAGACCGACGGTCCGGTCTTCGTGGCAGCGGGCGATATCAACGCAGCTTTTTACAGGATGGGCTTGCCACCGTTCCTCAGGCGCTACTTCCGGCTGCCATACACGGCCGCCCGACACCTGGGATTGAAGTTTTTGAACGGGCAACGACTCCACCCAGATACAGTCATCGCCCCCAGGCTCTGTGTTCTTCCCATGGGCTGGCCTTGGTCACTCTTATTGTGTCAAAGCGTCGTTCGTCATACTATTTCGTCGTCTAAGGTTCCTACCTCCCTGGTCATCCTGGACGGTTTACCGGCTGTGGAAGTGAAAGGGGGGGACGTTGCTGTCGCGGGGTATGTAGACAATGTGCTGACGGTGGGGAGGGGCAAATCGACTACCGAGGTGGTTTTGGGAGACATCAGGAGGTCTCTGGAGGAGAAGGGGCTTATTTTGCATGAGGTGGAGTCCGGGGCCCAGGATGCTGTTTTTCTTGGTCTCCAACTATCAGGTGGGGACCGACTTTCAATAAAGCATCGTAATCTGTGGCGTCTGAGGTTTGCAATCGAGGCGCTGCTGCGACGGAGGCGTTGCAGCGGGCACCTACTCAGGGCTCTCTTGGGACGCATCACCTGGGCGGGCCTGATCAGACGTGAAGTTTACAGTATTTTACAGTGTAGCTATGCATATGTCACCAAAAACGGCCCTGGGGTCGCGGAGCTCTGGCCTGCTGTACGCCGGGAACTTTGGACCATCAGGTGTCTTCTGCCACTCCTGTGTGTGCGCTGGACGGCGCCTTGGCATCCCACTGTGCTCGCCGCGGACGCCTCGCCGTTCGGGCTGGGCGTGTGTACACGGCGGGCTGACCCAGCCGAGATCGGTGCCATCGGCCGAGTATCCGAAAAGTGGCGCTTCAAGGTTGAGCAGTGCATCGACGCTAGGAATCACGCCCTCTCCGACTCCAGCTTCGCCCCTGACCGACGCCCTGCTCCTACTGTACTGGGACCCGAAGGGGAAGGTATGAAGTGTGACAGGGAGGTTGGGTCTATGCTCAGTTCTTTTGGGAATGGGGCTGGGGCTGTGGCTTGTGACGTGGTTGGTGGGGCTGTGTTCAGTTCTTCTGGGATGGGATCCACGACACCTCTGGAGGCTGGTTCTGGGAGCGGTTTCAGTTCTAGCCGGGCCGATACAACAAGGGTGACTAACATTGAGGACCTAGCTGTAAGTTTCGACGAGATTAGCAAAGATTTTATGGATGACAAATATTGGAATACTGTTATAGCTACCAGAGTAAGGCATAGGTCTAACATTCTCGAGCTCGAGGGCGACGCCTTGGTCCTGGGATACCGACATATCCTCCGATCTGGGGTTGCCCGAGGTTCACGGGTTCTGGCGTTGGTCGACAATCTACCGCTCTGTCTTGGGGCGGTCAAAGGCCGCGCTCGGTCCTCCTATCTCCTCCGACCTCTCCGACGTGTCGCTGCCCTTTCGCTCGCTACGGGGAGTCGCCTCTACGTCCGATGGGCCCCGTCCGAGAGGAATCCGGCTGACAAGGGGTCCCGCGGGCAGTGTGGCTTCTTCGCAGGTCCCTCCTGGCTCGAGGTCCAACAACAGGCTCCGACCCCTGCACCACCTCCTCCACACCAGCTTCCGCGTGCACCTGCCGAGGCGAGATGCCGCGAGGGCTCCCCACAGGCACACCCCTGCCACACCGACAGAGGCGGCGGGACCGCGCCTGCAGGGCGGGAGCTCGGTGATGGGCAAGTCCGTGGCCAGCGGCGCGCGCCAGCAGCAGCTCAGCAAGAAGGCCGGGAAGCTCAAGAAGGAACGAGCGTCCCGGGCTCGGGAGGCGGCCTCGAAGGTGGATGCCTGCGACCGCTTCCCTTGGATGAGCGTGCTGGAGAAGATTGCCGTGAAGCCGGGGACCGTGCTGTTGTACCAGCGGACCCCCCGCCTCTTCCTCGACTTCTGTCGCGTGGCGAAGGTGAGCTGGGTGGACGCGCCCGGGCTGGACGACGCGGTGGTGGAGTATCTGAACTCCATGTGCATGGGGGGCCACGGGGCCGACGAGGCGAGCCGGCTCCTGGCAGCGCTGGGCTATGTCTTCCCCGAGTTGTACAAGAAGACGCGGGCCCTGCTGCCGAGGGCGACCTGGTGCGCAGTCAGCTGGTGTCGGCGGACGCCAGCGCAGTCCCGGCTCCCCCTGCCACGCCTGGCGGCGTTGGCGATCGCGGGAGGTATGATCATGCTCGGAGACCCCCGCGGATGGCGATCATGGTGGCGGTATCACACGTCTGCTACCTGCGGCCTATCGAGGCGATGGCGCTCCTCGGCAAGAGCATCGTCGCCGCGGTCCCAGTGGCAGGTGCTGGCTACACCATGATGGGCTTAGTGCTGCACGAGACCTCCCTCGGCATCCCCGGCAAGACGGGGGCTTTCGACGACGCTGTGACGATCGACGAGCAGTGGTTGTGGGAGCCCCTTCTCGGCCTGAAGCAGGCCAGCCTGCCAGACGGGAGCCTGTGGGGGTTCAGCAGCGAGCTTTGCAAGGACGTGTTCATCGCAGTGGCCGAGGGTCTGGGGTTAGGACCATTCGACCCACATCCGTATCAGCTACGACACGGAGGGGCGTCGGAGGACCTGGCGGCCAGAAAGCGAACGCCAGAACAAGTCATGCGCCGGGGTCGTTGGACAACAGTGGCCTCTTTGAAGAGGTACGGGAAGGAGACCAAGCTGCTGCGCGTGATCAACCAAATCTGTCCGTCCGTCTTCAACTTCGGCAGCTCGGTGCACCAGAGCTTCGCCGAGGCCATCAAGTTCGGGGTCGGCAATCGGCCCTCCCAGCTGCGAGTGCCAGCAGCCCTCGAATCCAGTGTCAAGCAAGCAGTGAGCAGACTTCCATCACGGCTAGTATCTCAGATTCCTGCAGTGGCCCCAAGATGAGCCATTCCCAACGGGTGAAGCGGTACCTTCAGCACCTCCTGACTCGGGCGCTGAGGAAGGCCACCGCCAACAGGAGGGTTATCTTCTTGGAGCTTTTCGCGGGCAACGGGGGTATCGGCAAGTTTTTGAAGTCCCAGGGGTTCGCCGTTCTCAGCCTGGATGTCAAAAACCACGCTTTCCAGGACCATCTGTGCCCGGCCTTCCAGGCCGTTATCAAAGGTTGGATCCGCGGGAACGTTGTCGTCGGCATCTGGTTAGGGGCCCCGTGTACCACCTGGTCTATTGCTAGACGGCCTGCTATTCGGGACTCTGAACACATTCTCGGACTTCCTGGGCTCAGTGCTGCTAATCAGGCTGAGCTAAATATTGGTAACGACACTTTCCTATTCTCTACCCAGATCATACGCCTTGCAAATCGTCATAATACACCAGTAGCTTTGGAAAACCCAAATACATCTATGATGTGGCGTGCACCACACCTGTGTAGACTATGATGCGACGACTCCTGTGTGGTCCACGTCTGTGACATGTGCCAGTTCAGTGCTAGGTGGAAAAAGCGCACACGGATTGCGCTGTGGAATGCCGGCAGATGTACAGCTATCGAGCGCCTTTGCTGTCCTCGTGGGAATATATGCTCAAAGTCCCGCAAGCCGCACATCGAACTGACAGGGAAGACGCCAGAAGTTATCCATTGGACTGCTATCGCTGCCGCCTACCCTACACAATTTTGCAATACGATGGGACGATACCTTATGGATGTGATAAACAGCAACAAACAGATCATAATGAATGAAATATATGGTGTGCGGCCTACGGCCAGTTGACCAGTCGGGTTCGGGTACTGGAGGCTCGGCACCCTTAGCTCCGCCTCTGCCTCGACAAGACCCGGCTGCCTCACCTCCTCCTGAGAAAAAGCTGCCCCCTGGCCCCGTGTAAGAGGATCGGTCACTGTCTGAATTAAATACAGTAAGTGGGAGAGGGGTGAGCGGGGCCGCATGACATTGCGGCTCAAGCTCCCGCCCTGCTGCGAACCCACCCCGCTTTCGCCTTCTTTTCTTTTTTCTCTGCCCTCAGGGGTACTGGAGGCTCGGCACCCTTAGCTCCGCCTCTGCCTCGACAAGAGCCCGGCTGCCTCACCTCCTCTTGAGAAAAAGCTGCCCCCAGGCCCCGTGTAAGAGGATCGGTCACTAATAATAATAATAATAATAACAATAATAATACTAATAATAATAATAATAATACCAATAATAAGAAAATAATAAGTCCGACAGTGCGCACTGGCCACTCAAGGCTCAGAGCGAGCGCGTGGGCATGCTGGAGAGGATGCGAGTAGCGCGCGCTTCAGAAGCGGTTGTTGTCTACACTCTTCTTGCAGAGGCTGGCCACACGCCAACATAGCTATAGTCTTCCTGGTTATTGTCGTACTCAGGAGACTTGAGACTTGCTTCGGGCCCCAGCCCCTGAGCCATCATTGGGCTTGGGAATACAGGATGTCACGAGAAAGTCGTGCTGCGAAAAGGGCGTCTTGAAGAGGGTGAGAAGAGGGCGTGACAGGGTGGAGGAAGACGAGAGGTCGAGGAGGAGGGGAAGGGTGCCCCTCTCTCCGCCGATTGCCCCTCCACTCTTGTCCTCGTCCTCCTCGCACTCCTCCTGCGTGTCCTCTCGACTCTCCCATGGATGCCCACGTTTCCATCCGCTCATACTTCTGATTGGCTTGGGGTGCGGACAGGCCTACCTCTCTTGGCTGCTGCGCAGTGGCAAGCACAGCGCCCGCCTTGTTTCCCCTCCGTCCCGCAGAATCAAGGGCCCAAGAAACCCGTGATCACGGAGGCCACGATCGACCCGGCGAAGGAGGACGCCAGTGGCAGGGGAGAAGGAGGAGGACGATGACGAGGCGGGGTAGGAGGAGGAGGAGGAGGAGGAGGAGGAGGAGGAGGAGGAGGAGGAGGAGGAGGAGGAGGAGGAGGAGGTGGAGGTGGAGGAGGAGGAAAAAGGGAGGGGCAGAAGCAGAAGGAGGAGGAGAGGAGGAGGAGGAGGAGAGGAGGAGGAGGAGGAGGAGGAAGAGGAGGAGGAGAAGAGGAGGAGGAGGCGGAGGTGGAGGCGGAGGCGGAAGGTGGAGGAGGAGGAGGAGGAAGAGGAGGAGGAGGAGGGGGAGGAGAAGCGGGAGGAGGAGGAAGAGGAGGAGGAGGAGGAGGAGGTGGAGGCGCATAATGATAAGGAGGAGGAGCAGGAGGAGCAGGAAGAGGAGGAGGAGCAGGAGGAGGAGGAGGAGGAGGAGGAAGAGGAGGAGGAGGAGGGAGGAGGAGGAACCTGAGCAATACTACATAATAGTAGTTTGTCGACCAAGAAGAAGGCTACGAGTCTAGATCATAACAAGACTAATCATACGACTAACCAACTTGATCACAGTGTTAAGAAGAGTTCAATTATTAGGAATGAGAAGAGTACAACTACTGATATTAAGCAGAGGAGGAGGCCGAGGCGGAGGCGGAGGCGGAGGAGGAGGAGGAGGAATCTGATCAGCCATACAAAGAGTGGTACTTATTATACCAAGGAGAAGAATATTATCACTGATCCAGGTCTCGGAAAGATAGCGAACATGCATGCCACATTCATCGGTCAACGCCTCCCCCTCCCCCAATGTTCATAGGTGGCGGTGGGTCTGATGAGTTGCACTTCTACCGCAATTTCCCCTTCGCGTGCAAGCTTTGAGTTTGGCGGAGCGGGGGCGCGTCCACTAATTGCTTCCCCTATCGTTAGACTAAGACTATTCATATTACTCATATGTGTTATCATGTTGAGAATAATGCTACTATTCGCAATCATATCCGTATTATTAATACCACTAAGAAGAGGAGGAAGAGAAGGAGGAGGAAGACGAGGAAGAAGAGGTGGTGGAGGAGGCGGAGGCGGAGGTGGAGGAGGCGGAGGAGGAGGAGGGGGAGGAGGAGGAGGAGGAGGAGGAGGAGGAGGAGGAGGAGCCGGAGGCGGAGGCCGAGGAGGGAGAGGAGGAGGAGGAGCAGAAGGAGGAGGAGGAGGAGGAGGACAAACAACGAACATGCAAATAGTGATAAAAAATCCTACCCAGACAATTGCTACAAGTACTGATCATAATCAGAGTAAGTAGACCACTAACACAACTGTTCATAATGTAAGAAGAACCCTATTATTAGCAATACGAAGAGTACGAATAATCATTCTAAGAAGATGACGAGGAGGAGGGGAAGGAGGAGGAGGAGGCAGGAGGAGGAGGAAGAGGAGGAGGAGGCAGAGGAGGAGGAGGAGTGTTAACAGGATAGAGAGAGAGTTGGGTGTTGCCAGAGGTGTCACCGGCCCAAAGTGTTCGCAGGATTTCCAGGGGCCTCTGGTGCCGTCTTGGGGCCATCTTGGGCCACCTTGGGCCCTCTTGGAGCGTATGGAGGCCCTCTTTGGCAGGCCTGGGACCGCCGTGGATGCCTTTTGACAGTCTTAAACCGAGTTCGTTGTTTTTTGTTGTTGTTTTGTTTTTTTTGTATTTTTTGGTGGGATGTTTTATGTTATTGATTTAGCGTTTTTGTTAAACAATACATGAATGTGTATATTTAGATGTGCATGGATGTCAAACATGTGCATGTTTTTATTCCACCCAGGAGGGGCCTCTCTGGGAGATCGGTCTCTCCAGGCAGTATTTTGTGGCGTAGATGGCCTAGAATCGGCTCCAGAGAGGGGTGGTGTTGTTTTCCAGCCACGCGCGCGGGCTAGTGATGCGCCCTCCCGGGTGCTCGCACCTTGTTTTTATCAGAGAAGGTCTTCCTACTCGAACTGCGCCCCTGAGCCTCCAGCTAGAACAGCAATTGCTTCCGCCTCAGACTTCCGTG